ATCAAGAGACCAAGATAATTCTTTGTTAAAGAGCAACATCTCAGTCTGAATGGAGAATATTAAGGGATAACCATGTTTAAGTCTGTTCAGTTTGATTTAGGTCTGGACTTTGACTGGGCCATTCAAACACAAACAGGTTTTGATTTAAACCACGGTACTGCTAGCCGGGTCTCCAGAGAGACTCATTTGGACATCCCACAATAGTTCTTAAGTTTAGCTAAAAATTGCAAAACCAAACTCCAGCTTATAAACATAGATATACAGCAAATGTGACTTTTTTTGCTTGAATAGTTGTATTGAAATTTCACAACAGAATGACATTAAAAGTAACAATATGTTGTTCTAATTTTCGTCATTAGGTGGAAAATGTTTTTAACAAATAACATCTTGTGGAAGAAAATATATTAATTATCTTTTTGCAAAAGTTCTACGTTTTTATTTACTGTAAAACCAATTTTACAGTTTGAATATTTACTACAGCAAAAGTTAAGATGCAAAATTTGTTTTTGACCCTACGGAGTCGCAAAATAACCAGACAGACCACAAGTTGCAGCTAACTCTAGCAGTTAATTTTAAGGATGCTAAAGGACACTTCCATTCATTGTCTGATGGCAGACTGCAGCCAAAAGGATTTCCTGATGACAATTGCTGGCACTACATTCATATCAGTTGGGACTACAACGTGTGGAAAAAAACGCTATATCCAGATAACAGAACACCCGACAGGTACTGAAAAGGGGTTTTATTTGTTGTACATTTTACAAAGAAGCATTTAATTTCTCATTAACTGGTGAACAGGAGTTCACATGAGACGAGACAATGGGGGAAGGAAACATTAGGAGTGAGGAAATGGTCTTTATCTTCTTGTCAGCTCAGTTGATTAGACAGGATGCTGTGGGCAGGAACAGGTGTGGAGCATTGTCCACACATGCAAACATTGTTGAGAGCAGAGATGTATTATGTCTGTGACTTAGTATGTAGTATCAGCCACTGTGTCCATTATTTTTTATGATTTTGCTTCACAAAACAAAAGTTGCAGTTTCTAAATTTCTAAAGAAAAAAAAAGTATCCTATAAAACAAAAACCCGATACGTATTTGCATAATTGTTTTAGTTGCTTAAAACAATGATTCAGAACCTCAGCAGCTTGTGTGAGACTTGTGTTTTCACACCTGATGATGCAGTAGACTCGATTTGATTGGAGACCACACTGCATTGTGTTCAACGAACCAAATCTTTTGAAAAACTTGTCTACTACCTCACTTGTGGTGGCGCTGCACCCAGAACATCTGAAGGAAACAACATAGAGTCTCAGAAAAAGACAATATGTGCAATCTCTTTCTTCACAAAATGTAAAAAAACAAACAAACAAAATGGAGTAATGTCCAATTTTAGCAGTTGTGGGTTGTTGTTTTTTTGTCTTTGGTAAAAGACCAAGAGTAATTTTGCCTGCTAGCGCGAGACATACACCAGTCCGACTGGCCTTCACAGATGTATTTGAATCGCTCCTGGATTAACTTTTACCAAACCACGACTTATGTTTCTATGTAGTCCAGAGTTCGCTTTTTTGGTCCATATCAGAGTTCGATTGCACATTTGCAGCTCCCCAATTGAACCTGATTTTCTAATCAGACAAACTAGAGTTCGATTAAAGCACACTAATCAGGGCTGGAATGTATCACTGTGTTTTGCACATGTAAATAATGTAGAGCTGCATCAAGAAATTGGTTCATGACATAATTTGAGCTAGTTGTAATCATCTGACCAGAAACTAAACATTCAAATTTTCTTCCAATCAGTGAATCCATCATTAGAGTTAATAGGACACAGTGACAACAGAGTTCTTAGGAGTGGAAACTGTTCCTGAGAGAAGACCAATACAATGGGTTTCAATGAGATGTTAAAAAAGAAAAGAATAGAAAAAAGGTGAATGATGATACTTAGAGACCATGTTCTATTTGATATCAGTCTCATATCGGCTGCTTATTTATGTTGCTACGTCTAAATGTGGAGTGAGAAGGTGACTGAAATAGGACAGTGCTCTGTTTTTCGTTTTGTTTTTGGAATATTACAATTATGTATCTTATGCTGCATTAGCAGCAATTGGCTATCTTTTTGAAATTGTATAACTAAGTTAGGGATTTTTCAATTAATCCTAACAGAGATTGACTGTAAAATTACATAAAACCACAAAACTATGATATTCTTACTTAACAGTATAAGACCTTGGAAATCTCGGAGTGATCAATGTCTAATACAAACCCTTAAGACAACAGACAAAAACAACAAAAGACAAAGACAAAAAAAATACAAATTAAAAACAGAATAACAAAATAAGTATTGTTGAAGTTTCAAATCTTTTCAGCTATAGGCGTCTTTAGCAAATGTAAAAGAATGGGCGTTTCGTAAGTTTATATTTGGACTGCGTCCAGATGTTTCTTTTGTTGACTAAGAGCAGATGTGCCGTGTCCTGCCGCACAGCGTCCGACATGCAATCTGAATCTCAGTGAAGTAACGATAAATAGAAAATGTGCAGGCTGAATGAAGATCTTTCAAACCCCCCTGAGAAGTAAATCGTTTCATATTCACTGGGCCCCGGAGACCTCTTTAGGCAGACAGCCAGGTCGGAGGGTTCCGGTGCTGCTGGCAGGAACACAGCCAGTTGTGATGGCTTTCCCTTCACTACAGGAAGCCAGATGGAAACACCTATTGTCTTCAGTCACAACACATGCACTCCTATATGTCAGAGTGAAGTGGGAACTTTAGAAAGAGCAAGCTCTGTACTTTTTTTTGCAAACAATAAACAATGAAACCAAGAAGTACAGTAAAAAAATAGGATAAATGTGACTTTCTAAAAATCACAGCTCTTAACCAGTGTCCATTTAGTTACATACTCCTGACCTAAATTTTCAGACTTTGATGAAATTCATTATATCCTGAGAATATTTAAGCGGATGTAAAAAATTTGACAAACTTGATTTTATCTTCTGTGTGTTTCAGAAATTCTGGGAAAAAACAAACACACCTGAAGTTAACTTTCAATTTGTTAGCTGGGTGATTTCTGGACAAACTATTCCTTAAACTTGTGAAATCTACACATTCTGTATGTTATACCTGTATTGTTTTCTAATATAATGATCTTATATATGCTTTTTTGCTCCTAAACTGACCCAGTTTAAGAATAAGTCCAAGTTAAAAACCTGATCAAAGAGGGTTTAGCCATAAAGCTATGCATACATGTTTTTAAAAATCTCATTGACAAATAATTATGAACAAAAACAGTTTTGATCTGGGAAAATATGGGATGAATTTTGACAGCTGAATAAAAGCCAACACAAAAAGTGATTGTCTACAAATGTATATTTTCTATGTTTGTGATTGAACTGCAAACTTGTTCTGTATTTGATGAAAAAGAAAGTAGTTCCCTTGTTTTCTTTGACCTTTGTAGATACAGGAGACTTGAAGATTATAGTGTAAACAAAGAAATCCACTGCTTTATTTTGCAATTTTGGTCATATCTTTTTTTCTTTTTGTTATACTGGGAATATTCTGATCTGGGGGAATAATGTGGGGTTAATACCAGATATGCTTATGAAAGAGCATATGTATGCAAGTTTCCTACATATGGGTATCATTGTACCTCCCTACTGAAGTGAACAAATAAACTAAAGGAGAAGTGAAAGAAAGAATTAAAAGCGGAAGACAGGAGCAAAAGAATAAACTTTAATGGTCTGTTATTTTAAAGGTCACGTCCAGCAAGAATAAATAAAAAAATAAATATAAAAAAAAAACACTCACCTTTTGATCGAAGTACAGTGTTTTATAGCTGATGGGGGGCTCCGTGGTGTAACGTAACCCTCCAAGTCTGGTGAAAAGTTGCGACTTTAGAGAGGTCACGTGCAAGCACGCCAAACACAAAGTTATGATGCAGGTCGCTGCAATAGTATCCAAATTCATTCTGCTCAGGTGTAAATCACAGCCCTCGGTGTGCTGATCTTCTACGTGGTCAACACTGCCGCATGATCTCTGCTGCGATAGCAATAAGTACACTTCTCCCGTAGAAGGCAGGAAGTGAGATTCTCCCTGTCAGCAGGTCCGGAGAGGTGTTGCCATTCAAGCCGGTGTCAACTTAGCATGAGAGCAGAGGCTGAAGTCCGCTTCTGGAGAGCGGACACCAGGTGCCAGAGTCTCCGGAAGTGTTCAACTAACACTGCTAAGTGAGCTACGGGAGATGTAAACACACAGCAGATGGCTCGTGTCATAAATAGATAAGAACGAGCGTACGCCGCGTGAGCATCAGCGACGTACGTCAACTTTTCGGCCATTTTGTGAGGGGCAACTTTTAGCTTAGCCGTAAAAAGCTAGCGAATCAGTTATCCCTGAAATAACGTTCATCAAGCAAGTTTTTGAGAAACTGAAAAAGTTTTGTTCTTCCTATGACTTAAATAAGGGTAAGCTTAGGTGCATTTAAGCATACTGTTAAATTCTGGTTTTAAGATGTTCATTAAAAACGGACAATTAAAACTATTTGAGAATAAACTTCTGCATTTTTTCCCAGAAAACCAAGATTTAAAAGTGCCACTCACAAAATGGCCGACGAGTCTTCAAAAATGACTATGACGTTGCAACGTCTACACTTCTATCATGCAATGGTTGATGGGAGTGTGAGTTCTATATAAGAAAGATGCAATAGATTCCAAAGTTTAGTCAGCAGAGCTCAGAACTTGGAACTGTGACAATAGAGTCCTACACATTCTTTTAATTTCATCATTACTACCCCAGATTACATGTAATACCATTGTCATTTAACGCAGTTGTCATTTCTAACCAATTTTATAAAGTAGAAAAACACGTCAACTCTGCAAATTTAGCATGACTACATATTTTGCTTTGTCTCTTTTTTTGTAAAAAGTGCAGAGAATGAATTGTTTAAAAATATTTTTTTTTAAAACTAAGAAAATCTGGCCATTACAAGCAAAAGTAATAACAGAGGGCAACCAGTCAATAATTAGTGTAGCTGTTTAATGATATACACAGTAATTTAGGGATTATTTTTGTACACAAAAGGAAAAAACACAACAATTAAAACAGCCTGTCAGATGTAAGTCCCATTGAAGTTGACAGAAAGATGTAAAGAATTAAGCACAAGTGTCTCCTCTTAAAACCTAAAGCACCAGAAATAACATAACTCTGGCACTTCTAGCAAATGAGACAAAAACTGAAGGTACAAAATCATACAATAAAAGTGCCAAAATGTACTACAATAATAAATCTGTACAAGAAAACACTAAATGTTACAGTTGAAACAAAAAAAAACTAAGTGTGCAGTATATGGCATTGTGCAATACAGCAGCCTGTAGTTATGGCAAATGAATAAAAGATCATTTTAGACACTACCATGCTGACAACAAAATAAATTCACAGAAAGCATAATATGAAATACAAGTTATATAAAATTACATGGACACACCCCCTTGAAACTATTTCATGACCAGCACTGACAAATGCAGAAATATTCACGTGTATGTTAACGAAAATAGCTGACAATCATAAAGAAAAATCTACTTAGAAGTTTCACTGATAGAAGGCTTTCCAACTGTTTCAAACTAAATCAGCAATCACTAAAACTGCCAATAAACTAAAAAAATATTAATAGCGACACACAATACTGTAGGTTTTATTTGTGGTTCAGTTCTTATGACATAAAAACATGTTCTAGCAGCAAGTAAAAAGTCAAATTTGGGGGAAAAAAATGCTTCACAGTATGTAATGACAGGTGCAAAAAAAAAAATGATTTAAAAATGACAAAGCTGTCATGTGATGTGATTCTCAGAGCAAAGGGAAAATAAACAGATTTTATGTTACATTTTCACCTTGTTCAATCTTAGTAATCTCCTAAATGTAGTGCTTGTAAACATGTTACTGATAACTAATAATCCCCAATGTTCACTAAAATTGTCATCTGATTTGTAACAATATACCTGGCAAAACTGTTTGCTCTCATAATACTGCTGGTGAATACTGACGTCGGATGAGAAATGAATCCCAAAGGCCAAACTGGAAAGTCCTGTCGTTTCTAAACTCTACCCAGATTACCCACATTATCAGTCAAACTGAAGAAATTGGGATATGATTAAAAAAAAAACCTAATTGAGTTAAGTGAAACCCTGAAAATGTTATAAATTCATTACACACAGAGCAACATATTTCTAAAAGGGATTTTGAATGTAGAGATGTTATGGCATCTCCAAGTTTTTCATTGGCTATATAACTGACGTGGCAGGTATCATGCAGAGTCGCAGTCACCTTCCAAAAGGAGGGTAAGACACCAAAAGGCAATGCTAAAGAGGCTGGCTGTTCACAGACTGCTGATTCAAAGCATATTACTGGAAAGTTTAGTGGAAGGAAAAAGTTGCACAAGCAACACAGACAACCACAACCTTTAGATGATTGTGAAGCAAAGGTCACTCAAGAGTTTGGTATAGTTTTAGATGTTGTGGACTGACACTCCCACACATAGACGTATCCTGGAAGTATACAACAACAGTGTGTAAGCCACTCCTGAACCAGAGATGATGTCAGATGTGTCAGAGGTGCCTTACCTAAGGAGAAAAAATGCCAGGACTGTCATCTTAAGGTTGCTTAAGGTCTGGTGTGAAGTTTCCACAGTTAGAAAATTTTGGGGAAATTGAATCATCTGCTGTTGTTGGAGCTGTTGAAGTCCGCAGTCACCTAACATGGAAGAGCATGTTCACTCTTCCTTCCTTCTTCTGGTAATGTTGACTTCCTTTTCCAGCAGCTCTTGACACCTGCCCACACTGCCAAAACTTCCAAACTCTGCATTAATGATTATGGTATCAATGTACTGAATTAAAAACGAAACAGGCCTGCGCAAAACCTCATTTACTGTCTGAGTACTGTCAAGAGAAAGATGAAAAACTCCAGAAGTAAATAATTGCAACTGAAATATATCACTCTGTTCATAATGAATCTACATAATGTGTAAATTTCACTTTTTATATTGAATTAGTGATTTAAATGAACGTTTTGATGATATTTTTATCGATTGATGTGCACCTGTTCATCCTGACCCAGTAAGGATACTGGCTTTAATGATAGTAGCACTTTTAAAACTAAAATCAACTAGCTCCTTTGTACTGCGTATAAAAGGCATGGGAAAAACATGACCAAACTAAGCGTTGGCTTTATGCCATCTTAGCAGGACGGAGGCATTGGGGCTCAGCCATCTACGCTCTACAGTCAATGGCTACCGAGTTACTGCAGCCGGGCAGCTGAGCTCCCTTTAATTGAGGCTGCAGCAGTTCAAATAACTGATGGTTTTACCCTCACCGGGCATTGGGGCAGTGTCATTGTTGTCGAGCTTGTTCTGCTTGGCTTCTCGAATGAGTTCGCACGCCAGGTCAAGGAAGAGTTTCTCGACGTTGTCGGACTCTTTGGCCGACGTCTCCAGATACAGCATGCTCTGAGCCTGAGCGAAGTCTTCGGCCCTCTGCCTGAGAACCTCTCTCTTGTCTGCCAGATCAATTTTATTACCTAAAAGAGAACGAGCGAAACAAATCAGCCAACTAACGTCATGTACTTTGGGAAATGTTATTCTGAGCACCACTCTGACAGAGCAGTGAGCAACGAAACAGATGGGCGTGGAGGTGTATGTGTGTGCCTGCATGTGGGGGATGAATTTCAACAAAGGCTCTGGGTGGGAGTGCTTTTTGACTGACATTTCATAGAAATTACAAAACAAAACAAGGAATTTGTTTGGTGCTATTGGAGATTCCATTGTTTCTTACCTTGTGGGTCATTTACTTCTGACCATGTATCAATTTGTTACTACTAAGGGGATATTTTGTATCTGCATTGGCAAGTAGTTCTGCAAGTCATTTTCTATAACATATTCATGGTCTATTGAAAGAAGATCCAAAGGGAGGATCCGCAGAGTTAATCTGATTTGCTCAGAGAACATAATTTTGTAATATTTGACAAGATTCAGCAAACCCAAAAGGAAATCAAAACCAAACTAGCATTAAAGCCCATATCATGTTAAGTTCAGAAAATAATTCACTATTAAAATAAGTTTGAGAGAACCACCTATCTAAAATAATGACCCACGTCATTTTTTGCCAAAAGCATTTTTTTTCTACTTGAAGCATCCAAAAAGTGGCGTTTTCTTTTATTCCTTTTTTTTTAAGGCAATAATGTTAGGAAGGTGACAAAAAATAAAATACAAGCATTTTTGTGTAAAACTCACTCTAAAAAGAATGTTTTTGAGTACATGTGTATGTTATAGGTTGCTTACTGGTACCAAATGGAAAAAGAAAGAGATTAAATGACAACACATGGCTAAAAATTGAGGCTATGTTTAGGAAAAGACGTGATTTAGTCTGGCGGTCAAAAATGTTAAAAACATTTAGTTCATTGCAGACAACAAAGAGTAGGGAGGCACAATATATTGTCACTGACATTGGGATCAGCTGATATTAGTCATTTCTTAATGTCAGTATCGGTCCAATAAATAAAACAGGGCCAATATTAATAAATATTTCTTTGTTGTAACCGTTTGCTTCTGAGGAGGAAGGAAAAGAGGTTGGTGATGTAGTATATTTTTGGTCATGTGACAGTGATAGTGATGCAGTGCAGGATTCCAAGGAAGAAGTGGTGAAGTCAGCAAATGTGATCATTTTTTTAATCATGTAGAATGGGTAATGAGATATATATTTATACATATGTAGAATATATTCTGTATCAGAAAGTATTGATCATCAGCAGTGACTGCAATATCAATATTGGCTCAAATTTCATATTGGTTCATCCCTAATAGAAGGCTATCTTGTATAAAAGAAAACAGGACTTTCTTACCGACTAATATAGTCACCACTTGGTTGTTGGCATACTGCTCAATCTCCTTCAGCCACTCTGGAAGGCACCGAAAGGAGTCCTCACAGGTAATGTCATATGTGAGAATGAGGGCATTGGCACTACGGTAGTAACTCTGAGTAATGGAGCGAAATCTCTCCTGTCCAGCCGTATCCCATATCTGCAACTGTAAAACAAAGCAAATGACACATGTAATTATCTGGCAATTTAAAAATAAATAATTTGCAGAGCATTCTTCTCCACTTTGTAAACCTCTCTGTGGTTTGGATGTACCTTGACCTTCTCCCCATTGATTTCCACAGTTTTAATCATGAAATCCACTCCAATAGTAGCCCCTTGTCCAGGTGGGAAAAGCCCCTGCAATTTAAGTAGAAATTTAGAATTAAAACTTCTGACATTTGTGTGTTTGATAAGAATGATAACATACTGGGCAAAACATAGACCTGAGTAAAGCGCCGGACGAGACATGTCTTTCCAACACCAGCATTTCCAATGAGAACTATTTTGAACAGGTAGTCATAATCTTCCATGCTCATAATAACCTGTAAAGAAAATTTAGAATTCAAAGTGACAAAATTGCTCAAAAAAGGAGGAGACCGATTGTAGTTTGATTTTAGATTGCTGATCTCCAATCTTTAAAAAAACTTGACTGAAAGATTTCAATTATGACTGATAACTTTTTTCTTTTAATTACCAAAAACTGTCAGGTTACAATACACATTCAGTACTCCAATTTTATTTAATTGAAACACACTGAAAAATACCTGTGAAACAATACAAGTTTGTTTTAACTGCCAATGAGGTATTAGTCTCTATTATAAATGAAAAATTAGCTCATTGCAGTCCAAACTACAGGTAAACTGAAGTAAAAAAAATCAGATCCTTTAATCTTTTATTTCTTACATAAAAAAAAACTTCACTCCAGGTAATATTGCAATCCTGTTTTGAGCCTCTTTGCAAATATAAACTGCACAGTTGTATTTTGCTTTGACAAAAATCTAAGTTTTGAGGTCAGTTAAGGGCAAATTAAAAATACAACTTAAACCACAAAAATAGTTCTTTTACTAAAAGAATGGCCATTTAAATGCCCACATGACTAATTAAATGTAAATGAGATTGGTGGAAAAGTTTGAGCGAGCTACAATCACCAAAAATCAGGAGCGATCAATTGGCTGGCCAGTCAATTGGCACACCACTGTTCATAACAACTGTTATGAATGAAGTGCCTTTGGTAAATGTTCATGGTAAAAAAAACTTTTACACATTTCGTCACATTATAACCACAATGTGTTTTATTGAAATTTATAAGTTGTAGTCCAAGGCCAAGTAGAGTATCATGGATAATTGGTTTTCCAAATGCTTTTACCTACACAGATCTAAAGAGGTGTGACATGCAATTGTGATTGTAATGGTTATACTTGTAGAACAAGCATTTGCTACAATTAGAGCTCTGAGTGATCCAATAACGGTCTGTAACATTTATGGACAATTTCTAGGAGTAGTAAAGTGAGGAGTTCAACGTTGGGTATCCATATTGGTGCGTCCCTAATATTTATAATGCGTGTGTGTAAAAGCAGCATCTAATAAACATTAATAGAATTGTTAGAGTGTAAAAAAAAAAACACCGTTACATCTATCGTGCTCTGTGGGGAGTCGTGCCTGCAAATCAAATCCGTCACAAATGCAGTTCAGGCAGACAAACTGCTTGTTGCTCGCTCACACGAACCTATGTTAATGTCCTCCGCCGTAGTTTTTTGGCATTAAATTAACAGCTTAAGCTTCCAAGTAGAACGCACCTTTTTTACCGTGTCGTGGAGTTTATTAATCCTTTACCAGTGTTAAACCCAAACACCGTGCCCCGCGGTTCATGTTTAATCTGATTTAACATTCTAATCCCTGTCAAAAATGATTTATCTTCAAGCTAACTTGATACCTAGTAGAGCGAAGCTAGCAACAGTAGCTAATAGCGAGGCTACCTGGCGATTCTAGCCATTTTCGCAGCTTCTGCAGATGCAGGAAAAATCACAGTCAAAGCACTTCATCAACGCAAAAACAAACTGTTTGCACTCACCAATAATCACGGGGATAGCCCCGGACTTATAACTACTTGGTATGCATAGGTTCGGCTCTTCAAATAGGCAAAGCAGCCGCTGCTGGGCAGGGCATAATTCCCCTGTCTGAGAGCTGTGTGTCCTAGGCAGCTCAGTAGCAGCAGCAGCAGCCTGTCTGATCAAGAAGGAGGGAGGAGGAAAGTGCACTCAATGATGTCATTAGCTTTACATCCACTCGTGGACTGCTAATCAGCCAAGTTCAACGCCACTGTATTTAATAAACTATATGTTCTTTGGTTTAAAACACTGTTTATGTTTTTAGTTTGATACATTACAAAAAGACACACCCGGTCAGAAGCTACCAACATGTATGTAAGTAAAAATTAGCTAATAGCTCATAAAAATGGTTTTGTCTTCTTGTCGTTGTTGCTAGGAGACATCTAAAAACCGTACGTGAGCGCGTCCGCCATGTTACTAGTGGCATGTTCACCACGCAACAAACCTTGGCCACAAGAAGCTGCCGAAAGAAGAACCCGTTGTAGGTGGAACCTAAACAGTCCTCATTTGCTGTGCCCGGACACTTCTTTCGTTTGCACACATGTTCCTCCGGAGAGGTGGTGCCTGGAAATCGAGAACTGCACAGACTAGATTACAGTATGCCTAAATAAAATAATTTAAACATTATAGTCATGTTGCTTGCGACGGTGGGGAGTTTCTCATCCTAAAGGAATTGTTTACAGAAGCCCGTATCATCTTACACAATATGAAAACTAAACCTACGGCAGGCTGAGCCAAGACAAAAATGAGTACCGTATTTATGCAGCTTTATTCAGTGCAAAACTGCAGGCATAGACAGCAAATGATAAGGAAAGATAGGTAAAGCATTGCATTATGCAATATATTAAGGCAACATGTGGGTGCTATTTGGAGTCAAACCTTATCTTTATTTACTTTTCACAACACACAGTCTGAGATTTTCTCATCATTTAATCTGCAAGAACCAAGTGTTCCGCTGTGAATATTTAATCATGATAACCATGATGTTTCAAAGACCTTACCAGTGGTGTCCAAACTTTTTGGGTCAATAAAAAAAATCTAAAACCATAAACAGTAATTTAAACATTGAATTGTTCAAACACTGCTGCCATAAAAATCTGCTGTGAATAGACAGATAACAAATTATGATCCTAAAATGCTTTGAACACAACCAAGACTGTTATCCTTAATGAAAAATGTCTTGTAATAGTCTAAAGTTGTCACTAGAGGTCAGCCTTGAACTCTTTGAGATAATGTGTGAAGGGGAACATTAACACATCATGTTACATTTTCCAGATTTGTAACCTTATCACTGTTAAGGTCCCGTGAGATAAAAAGGTTCTCACAGCATAGCACCAATGTGAAAACCTTTATTAAAATTTATGAACATACAAAAAGTTAGTAATGCAGAACAATCAATAAACTGATAAATCAGTGAAAATCAGAAAGTTGCTAAATCTCAAAATGAACTAACTTGTCAGGGTTTTAGTAAAAGAGCTTTGAGACAACTTATCATCTGAGCAGTAAATGTGAGTCTGGTCAGATTGGAGGAGTTATAATATCTCAAAGACACTGACCTTCACTGTCCCAGAGAAAAATTATGAGCAACGAAAGGTTTGATCAGTGAACAAACAGCTCACTTCTACGAAGCAAAACATTCAAGATGCTCCAATAGGCAGTATTACTAATCCAAAAGGACAGTATGTTTTCTGCACAGGCAGAACCATTTTATTGCACAATCAAGTCACTATGTTATCTTAAGTTGATATAAAATGATGTTTATATCAAACATCCCATCATAGCCATGTCTGACACCTTGAAATTGGCCTGTCTCTTTAAGAACCTCCAACCATTTTTAACATTACCCCTTCAGCACGTCATCTTGGATATCATTGGTTTGATACTTCAATAAAGCAGGAACCATTGAAACGAAACAATTGTCTTCACTTGTACTTCACTGCCCTGCCAGGAGAAAAACCACTAGTTTCTGCTAACGCCAGAGGTTCCCAAACAACATTAGTTTCTGGGCAGGGATTTCCTTTGCAAACACACAGGCAATGCTTACAAAACCAGTAAAGAAACATCAACTCTAAGAAAGTTTTTTCTAACTTTTATTCTCTGTTCAATAATTGTTTACATTGGTTTAGTATAAATACTCTATCATACCACTATGCCAGAGATAGATTGAAAAATGTAACTGGCAGCCAAATGTAACTGGCAGCCAAACAGAAAGTGGAGGACAGCAAATGACGTTTCAATATATTATTTTTAATTATTTTGTTTACGTCTTATATTTCATATTGATTGAAAAATGGATTCAACTTTACGATTGAAAAAAGAAAAAATCATTAAATCAATTTATGAAGATTTAAACTAAATATATGTCGTTAGCAGGAAGAAAAAAAGCTGTTGGAGATGTCCTATAAAAGTCCTGTTGACTGTAATAGTGCTATGTCAGTGTAATAGTTGAAATGGTCCAGATTAAATTCTGCTAAAATGGGTTTCATAGTTGTCCTGTGGTGAGTAGTTTTCGGCGCCCCCTACTGGTTACCTATAAAAGGAGGAAAAACTGTAGATTCCACACAGTCTGTTCAGCACTCTACTGTGTACCCAGAACTGGTGGACCAGTAGGGAGGCTCACTGTGCATTTTGTTGTTGACACTCATTACAGAAATTCAACAAACTAGTCTCCGCTGTGTGCTGTATGTGGGGGAAGAAGTCACATCAGCAAAGGTTTTATCTTCTGAAAACAAAACAGAAAAGAATACCTGAGTTCATCACTGGAAATGGCTGTCAACTATTTTTAAAGTACCTTTTTTAGACCACATAAATTAATATTAAACACAAAATCTTGAAAAATATAGTCACTAATTAAGGCTATATCCAAATTATTACTTCTGGCAGATCTACACTGAAAGTCATTCGATCAAGCAGTTTGGAAGAAATGAAAAAGGTCCACATTTTGTCAGGAAAAACTACCTGAGCAAAACACTGGCAATGGTGCGTTTGTAACTGGTTCCAATACATTTTTGCATGGAAACATTGAAAAAACACAATGCATCTGTATGCTGTCATTAAAGCAGCACACAGATCAGTAGAGGCTGGCATGATAATATTTAAACTACATAAGAAAAACTTGTCTTCACTAAGTTCAAATTGTAAATATTTAACAAGAAAAATGACATGAATGTAATTAAATGTCTAGTTCAAGATGTTCAAAAGATCCGTAGCCCTGCAAACATCTTCTAATTTAGATTTTCTTTGATTTATCTTGACATGTTTATATTTCAGCCCAGAGGCTCTTTCAACAAGGCCAGTAATTCTGCTTAAAGAATTACTAGAAAATGGACATTATTCTTAATCATTTGCACGTCAATATTACCTTAATTTAACAGTGACAAAAAAAGAAGACAACCTTTAAAAGTGCAATATTAAAAATGCCATGTGGTCAAACATTTGGATATATCTAACGACTGTGCTGGTGCACCTAAGAAAACACATTAGGTGCACCAGTGCAAAAAGTAAGTCAAGAGCAAAAATTTTTCATTTATTTCTCATCTTCCATCCAGTTATATAAGGCACCTTGTGGTAGCCTCCCAGGTAGCTGCAGCCCCCACTTTGAAAAAAAATATCTTAGGCATCTTCTTCACCCTCTTCTTCAAACTCTCCCTCCTCCTCTGCGGTGGCGTCCTGGTACTGCTGATATTCCGACACCAGGTCATTCATGTTGCTCTCTGCCTCGGTGAACTCCATCTCGTCCATACCCTCACCGGTGTACCTGTGACATGAAAGAGTCAGAATCTATCTACACAGTGCACCAACACACCACCGTGGCTCACTGAGTCTTACTCACCAGTGAAGGAAAGCCTTGCGACGGAACATGGCAGTGAACTGTTCAGAAATTCGCTTGAAGAGCTCTTGAATGGCTGTGCTGTTTCCGATGAACGTGGCGGACATTTTGAGTCCACGCGGTGGGATGTCGCAGACGGCTGTCTTTACATTGTTTGGAATCCACTCTACAAAGTAGCTACTGTTCTTGTTCTGCACGTTCAGCATCTGTTCGTCCACCTCCTTCATGGACATCCGGCCTCGGAAGATGGCGGCTACTGTGAGGTAACGGCCGTGGCGAGGATCACAAGCTGCCATCATGTTCTTGGCATCAAACATCTGCAGGGTGAGTTCAGGAACTGTCAGGGCCCTTGGAAAAGACAGACATTCAGTAAGAATTATGTTTGTATGAACATTATATTATAAACAATATTGTTATAATACAAGAGTGGTTTCAGGGAAAGCATCTTCACCTGTACTGCTGGCTGCCTCGGCTCGTCAGGGGGGCAAAGCCTGGCATAAAGAAGTGCAGTCTGGGAAACGGCACCATGTTGACAGCCAGTTTCCTCAAGTCAGCGTTCAGTTGACCAGGGTACCGGAGACAGGTGGTTACACCGCTCATGGTGGCCGAGACCAGGTGGTTCAGATCACCGTATGTAGGGGTGGTAAGTTTTAATGTACGGAAGCAGATGTCATACAGCGCCTCATTGTCAATGCAGTAGGTTTCATCAGTGTTCTCAACCAGCTGATGGACAGAGAGGGTGGCATTATAGGGCTCCACCACAGTGTCTGACACCTACCATGGTGAGAGAGGAATACCTCGTTTAAGATTTGAAGGAAGCAGCAATGAGGCAAAGCATCATATCTGAACATGAGTGAATGCAGGATATAAACCTTAGGCGACGGCACGACACTGAAAGTGTTCATGATGCGGTCTGGGTACTCCTCCCGGATCTTGCTGATGAGGAGTGTGCCCAAGCCAGAGCCGGTGCCTCCTCCCAGGGAGTGGGTGAGCTGGAAGCCCTGCATGCAGTCGCATCCCTCTGCCTCTTTTCTTACCACATCCAGAACAGAGTCCACCAGCTCTGCTCCTTCCGTGTAGTGGCCTTTAGCCCAATTGTTGCCAGCGCCACTCTGGCCTGTTGGAGATCAAAATATTTAATAAGAAAACGTCTTTATGAAAAGTCCAATACCTCATTTAGAGAATAACACTGCCATTGACTAGTTGGCACCATAGTTAACATCAACGATAAAATGTATTGACAATTTAATAAAATAGTTTTATTGTTTTTTTCATATTTCTTAAACTTCGACAAAATCAAATGGTTTCTTTCAAACACCTGGATGAATTAATGTATCTACCACTTTATGCAGTATGGGGGGACAACGTCACAGAGGCAACATCAGCCTTAGCTCTGTCCTCTAATCACATCTGACGGTGTGGACGGTTTTACGCATTAAAGGAACATTCTTTTTCTTTTAAAAATGTATGCTTCACTAAAATAAAATCTATTTATTTCGTGGAGTTTTATGCCAATAATATTTGACTATTACCAACTGAACAGCCAGGTTTCTTTTTGTGTGAAACTTTTGAGAAATTAACAGAAAATGATTTTGATTGGCAGGCCTATATGGTCGTTTAATTATTATTATTTTTAAACCAAAACAAAATCCTCCAGTAATATACATACCAAAAACAAAATTGTCAGGTCTAAACACCTGCCCAAAAGGACCGGACCTCACAGAGTCCATTGTGCCTGGCTCCAAGTCAACCATCACAGCGCGAGGGACATATTTTCCACCTAGTAGGGAGGGAGAGAGAAAAATTATGCAAAGATGCAGTGACATCTTCACATGCTTGATTAAACAAAACTGGACAATGGTGTAAAAAAGGATCAAAAGTAATTTCTGGAAAACAATATGAAATGCATATCAACATAAAAATGTGTATTATAAACTGTTTGGGACAGTTGTCATAATTCGTTTTTAGCAGTTATGAAAGCAAAATTGTAGCAACTGTTAGCTTGGAGTTTTGTGCATCATTGAAATAGTTGCTTAGTGACAATTCAATTCAAATCAGGCCATGTAACGGTCCTCTGCTGGATGGTAACGGTACCGAAATGTTTCCTTGAGATATTTAATAACTTCTCCTGCACTCAGTAAGCATCTGTGAAGCAAAGTGTGAACAAACCTGATGCCTCGTTGTAATAAACGTTGATCCGGTCCAGCTGCAAGTCGCTGTCTCCGTGGTATACCCCGGTTGGATCGATGCCATGTTCATCACTTATTACTTCCCAGAACTACAAAGAGAGAGGAGAAAATACTCAGCTAACGGGTTCAGCAGAAATATAACGGAAACCAACGGCTATGAGTAGCATTTTAGCTAATTGCTTTAGTTTTTTTTTTTTTTGGCTTTTATCTAAATCTAACTTCTCAGCCACAGTCTTACTAATATTTGTCTTACCTTTGCTGGTTGCCGCATTGGCCTGCTTGAAGATGAATAATTTCCCTCATTTTTATGGAAGTTCAACGAGAATTTGTTTGTGTTTTTTTTTAAACGAGCAAAGTTTCGCCTGCTGTAGTTCTCCAAAGAATGGGGTAAAAAAATATGCTTGAAAAGCCACACACGCGATTGGACACGAGGAAGTCATAAAATAGCATTTGATTCGTCGGTTCAATTTTGACTGTGACATCTTATTTTCACAGCGTCGCTCATGTTATATCGCTGTACTTAGAAGAAAATTGGTTTGAAATCGAATGTAACCACTACTATTTAAAGTAAGTAAAGCATTTTATTGTCAACGTACACAAGCATAACGAAATTGGGGCCATAGTTCTTATGACTTAGTTTTCAGAAAAAGGTATAGGAAATAAATCTGTAATCAAAAAAAAGAAGAAATAAACAATGTAAAATGAATTAATGACATGCTATCTCATTCTGTATGTCCAGAGAGCCTTTCAGCTAACGTGTTTTTATTATTATTATTATTCCGGTTTAACAGCAAAGTAACGGAAACAACGGCTATGAATATATTTTAAGCTAACGGTTACTTTAAGGGTTTTCGGGCTCAAACTAAGTTTAACTTCTCAGTCGGTATGATTATATACAATCTTATTTGTATAGCGCTTTTCTAAAACCTCAAAGACACTATAAAAAGACAGTATACAAAATATATTACAAGTATATTTTCTTACCTTTGCTCCAATCTGGTTGCCGCATTGGCCAGCTTGAAGATGAACAATTTCCCTCATTTTTATCAATGTTTTTTTCTATTGTTCAACTACCAGTATTTTTTATTTTTTTTGCCTTTTTTTTTTAAAATAAGAACAATGTTGTCTCTGCTGCAGTACTCAAAATAATGGGTGAATGATTGATTCCAAACGGTTATTACGGTATGCCAAACACGCGATTGGACAATGAGCCAATAGTAAGCGTATTTGATTGGTCGGTTCAATTTTGATTTGCGTGGTAACTTTGTCATCTTAGCAACCTAAACATTTAATAGCGTAGTTGGTGATTTTTAATGCTTGTGGAGTTGGCAAATAAAGAGCAAATGTTTCCAACTAGACTTTATTTGTTATGAGAGGAATAAACACACATAAGAAGTTTTTGAAACAATTATAGCTTCCACATAAGGAGGGGAACAATTGATGTCAAATAGTTGAAATATTTGGTTCTTATCATAACTTTGACAATAAAGAGAAAATACTTTCAAATTCTCAAGGATCATTTTGTGTGATGGTAGACTGAGTAACCTAAATTTCAAGATGATTGATTGATTCTTGTCCCATTGTAACAAAACAATTCAAAGTAAATAGACTGAACTTATATAGTGCTTTTCCAGCCATTTTGATCACTCAAAGCACTTTAAGCTAGAGTCACATTCACACTCACAAACTCACACACATTCATACACCAATACGCAGATCGGTAGGCAATTTGGGGTTAAGTGCCTTGCCCAGAGGCACATAGACATGTGGCAGGAGGAAGAAGGAATCGAACCTACTGTTTTTCATGTTTCTAAAAGCATTATTTTTTTCCTGAGAAGAAAGGAAGTATGTTCTCATATAGAATCATAGAAAAATATTTTAAGGCATTTAATACAAATGCCATGATGTGTAAATACATTTTCACGGTCTGTTCCACCAGGCCGTGAAAAAGGTCGGATCCGCCTCTGCGGCTGCAGTGCGCCAGACAAAGAGGGAACAGATTTTCACAGGGGAACAGAATTTTCCACAACACCTGCATTTAACAGACATGCACTCAACGTCTGGGGAACAGTGTTTGTCTACAAAACTGGTACTGGAACTGTTTTTGGTTACCAAGGAAGTTCACACCAATTAAAATTGAACCGACCAATCAAAGGCCGTTTACGATTGGCTCGTTATTTAATTGCGTTTATAGTCCTTTGGCTTTCCACAGTCAACGTGGAGCATCATTCTTCCCGACCTCCATCCCAATGGAGTACCGCAGTAGGCACAACTTTGCTCGTTAAAAAAGAAAAAAAAAAAAGAAGAAAAAAATTGACTCGAACAATTGGAAAGCCTTTCATAATAATGAGGGAAATTGTTCATATTCAAGCTGGCCAATGCGGGAACCAAATTGGATCAAAGGTAAGAAAATATATTTGTAAAATGGAGGCCTAAATTCACGAGGACACCGACTGAGAAGTTAGATTATTTTGAGGCCTAAAAAAGGAGAATAGCTAAAATGTAATTAGAAAACGCTGCTGCTCAAGCCGTTAGTTTAATAGTTTTTCCTCTCTCGTTGCTCGTAGTTCTGGGAGGTAATAAGTGATGAACATGGCATCGACCGAACCGGGCGATACATCGGAGACAGCGACCTGCAGCTGGACCGGATATGCGTTTATTTCAACGAGGCATCAGGTTTTATTCATATTTTACTTCCCAGGGGAAGTTATTCAATATCTCAAGAAAACACTTTAGTACAGTTAAAATCCACTAGAAGTCCGTTACTTTGCCTAATTGCCTAATTTGAATTGAATTCAATGGTTACTAAGCATCTGTTTCAATGATGCACAAAAGTCCAAGCTCCCAAACGAATTATGACGACAGCTGATGTGCTGCAAATTGTTTTTTATCCGCATCTTGCACATTGATATACATTTCATATTGTTTTCCATAAATTATTTTTGATCTTTTTGTCCAATTTTACTTTGTCAAGCAGGCAAGGATGTTACTGTGTCTTTGTATAATTGGTATATCCTCTCCCTCCCTACTAGGTGGAAAATATGTCCCTCGCGCTGTGTTGGTTGACTTGGAACCAGGCACTATGGATGCTGTGAGGTCCGGTCCTTTTGGGCAGGTGTTTAGGCCTGACAGTTTTGTTTTTGGTATGTATATTACTGGAAGCATTTTGTTTTCGTTTAAAACATTTAATTGACCACATAAAGCGGTATTGCGGATGTTGCCATGCTAAAACCTGTACGTTAACGCATACAGGTGTGACATCATTCGACTGAGAGTAGACTGCACCAAGGGCTTCTCTAAACACTGTTTGAAAGAAAACCACTCGAAGTTCAAGTTTCAGAAATCTTGGGGAAAAAAAACATTTCATTAAATTATCAACTATGATGACAACTAGTCATGGCAATATCATCCCCTCAATCGGTTCTTGAAAGTTCAATTCAAGAATCGATTGAATTAAAAAAGTTGACACTTTTATTTTTTAACAAATTATTTTGATCTCCAACAGGCCAGAGTGGCGCTGGCAACAATTGGGCTAAAGGCCATTATACAGAAGGAGCTGAGCTGGTGGACACTGTTCTGGATGTGGTAAGGAAAGAGGCAGAGGGATGCGACTGCTTGCAGGGCTTCCAGCTCACCCACTCCCTGGGAGGAGGCACCGGCTCTGGCATGGGCACACTCCTCATCAGCAAGATCCGGGAGGAGTACCCAGACCGCATCATGAACACTTTCAGTGTTGTGCCGTCGCCTAAGGTTTATATCCTGCATTCACTCGTGTTCAGATATGATGCTTTGCCTCATTGCTGCTTTGTTCTAATCTTAAACGAGGTATTCCTCTCTCACCATGGTAGGTGTCAGACACTGTGGTGGAGCCCTATAATGCCACCCTCTCTGTCCATCAGCTGGTTGAGAACACTGATGAGACCTTCTGCATTGACAATGAGGCGCTGTATGACATCTGCTTCCGTACATTAAAAATTACCACCCCTACATACGGTGATCTGAACCACCTGGTCTCGGCCACCATGAGCGGTGTAACCACCTGTCTGCGATTCCCTGGTCAGCTGAACGCTGACTTGAGGAAATTGGCTGTCAACATGGTGCCGTTTCCCAGACTGCACTTCTTTATGCCAGGCTTTGCCCCCCTGACGAGCCGAGGCAGCCAGCAGTACAGGTGAAGATGCTGCCCTGAACCCACCTTTATTTAATAACAAAGCCTCACTTTTTCTCAAAAAATTCTTCTTCTTGAATGTCTGTGTTTTCCAAGGGCCCTGACAGTTCCTGAACTCACCCGGCAGATGTTTGATGCCAAGAACATGATGGCAGCTTGTGATCCACGCCACGGCCGTTACCTCACAGTAGCCGCCATCTTCCGAGGCCGGATGTCCATGAAGGAGGTGGACGAGCAGATGCTGAACGTGCAGAACAAGAATAGCAGCTACTTTGTAGAGTGGATTCCAAACAATGTAAAGACAGCCGTCTGCGACATCCCACCGCGTGGACTCAAGATGTCCGCCACGTTCATCGGAAACAGCACAGCCATTCAAGAGCTCTTCAAGCGCATTTCGGAGCAGTTCTCCGCCATGTACCGCCGCAAGGCTTTCCTTCACTGGTGAGTAAGACTCAGTGAGGCACAGTGGTGTGTTAGAACACTGTGTGATAGATTCTAACGCTTTCATGTCACAGGTACATCGGTGAAGGCATGGACGAGATGGAGTTCACCGAGGCAGAGAGCAACATGAATGACCTGGTGTCGGAATATCAGCAGTACCAGGACGCCACCATAGATGACGACAGAGAGTATGAAGAGGATGAAGAAGATGGCTAAGCAGCCACCCGGATGGCCTCCAAAGGCTTCTGTGGGGAGGTCTAAGAGATCTGGAGGGAAGATGATGAATAAATGCAATAACAGTGCGAGAACAATTTTTTACACTCGTGCCTAACATTTTTTCTTAGGTGCATCAGCACAAAAGTTAGATGTACCCAAAAGTTTAGCCACATGGCATTATTTAAAATCACAGTTTTTCACAGTTTTACATTTTAACTTTAAAAAAAAACTGTTAAATTAAGGTAATATTAACTTGTAAATTATAGCAATTCTAGTGTACAATTTTTTAAATTGAAAGCAGAATTACTGAAAGAGCGTTTAATAATCCTTTATTAGCCATACATTATTTTTAATTCAGTACCCCTTGATGATCAGACTGGATGTTCTTCACGAGAATAAAGTAATAAAAATCATAAAAATAAAGTCAAAATAAGATGAGAATACCGTCAAAATTAATTTTAGAATAAAGTCGTAATATTCCGAGAATAAATTCGTAATAAGGTGGATTTATTGTCGTGATACTACAAGCTTATTCCCGAATTATATAGACTACACTCTCGTAAATTTATTCATTTTTTAATTTTATTTTTTAAATTTTTCTGTAGCGTTGTTTCACTTTGCATCTCACGTTACTGAACCCATCTTTAGTGGAACCTTAACAATCCTCATTTGTTGTACCCGGACACTTCATTCACTTGCACGCACGTCCTTGACTTCCCTCAGAGAGGTGATAGCTACAACTACCCAGGCGGTAGATCCCGACAAATCTACATACAGTAGATTAAACCTTGTCGTCATGGGGCTTGTTCCAGAGGAAGGAAAGGCTCTCCCTCCTCCCGGAATCGTTAACAGGAATTCGGTGTGGCTGTCCGGAATAGGCTGGTTCAGCGCGATGCTCGACAACGCTTTCAACCATAGGCCGCCTCTGAAGTCAGGTTAGCATTGTTGTTTCTGAGTTGACCAGCTGAGAAAGTCGACCAGTTATTTCGCTTTCTGCTTAAATTGTAACATTCACACAGTTATGCATTTCGGGTTTTAGATTGTTAGTGTCTTGTTTTGTTTTATTGGTGCATATTTTCTATGTAAAATGTATTGTGATGTCCATGACTGCAAGTCAGTTTGCCTGCCTTGCAGTTTATTTCCTGTTTTCTTAAGCCATTGCCTTTTAGTTTGTTTGTCTTTTTAATTAGGCATTTTAAATATTTATTATTGAAATGGTCACATTATAATTTGAGATTTACAAAAGTGTCATTCTGAGAGACAATACTGAAGATAGTTGCATCCTAATTTATTTTTCAGGTGTTCATCGGCAGGTTCTTATGGCAACTCTTGGCTGGTTCATCGGTTATCATGTTACAAAACATGAAAACTACACCTATGCCAAGCGGGACCAAGTCATGAATGAGTATGTTAAACTCCACCCTGAAAGATTCGAAACTAAAGGTTTGTAGTTTTGTTTTTCACATCATAGTTCTTTCTTCATAAGTGTTTGCTTAGAAAACGTGTTTTAAAATGCCACTGAGGTATTTATGGCATATTCACTTGTGTTGATGTGGTTGTGCCTAAACAGCACAATCACATTCATTACCATTAAGAATTACGGTATGTTTAAAAAAAAATAATCAAAACACCTGTCAACTATGAATCACTATTTTGGAGTTATAATTCTGATTGAACCTATACGTTAGTTTAAACCATATTTTTGCCCATATTTTGTTCTTAATATTTGTCTCTATGTCTTTCATCTCACCAGAAAAAAAGACCTTTGCAGAGATTGTTGAGCCATTCTATCCAATTCGCTAAGTGTCAGTGGGTGCCAGGGGGACAAACAGAAGAATAAAGAGAGGACAGACAGTTTTCTATTGGGCAGCCTGTTTGTGCAATCTGCCATGTATTGTATGACATATACAGATGTAAATAAAAAAAATTACTAAAATGTGTACTTGTCCTAATGTAGTATTCAGAAAGCCCTGCGATGGACTGGCAACCTGTACACCGCCTCTCGCCCGTTGACAGCTGGTATTTGGCACCAACACCCCTCCCAAACACCAACTAGGGATAGGGTTGTATGATGATGGATGGATGTATAGTATTAAGAAATTGACATTTTTTGTCTTTATTTTCAAATCATAAGTTTCTTTAATAACTCCTAGTTCATTTATTTATTGTTTTGGCTGTAATCAATTGAGCTTTTACTGGCTAAGACCATCTTCTAGATTTAAAGGAGATTTAATTTATTTAATGTGGAGCTGCACCAATCACTTGGCCTAAAATTGGACTTGCCAAATTATAAAATTATTGCTTTTCTTTATACCTCAAAAACATCCTTGATGTCTAACAAAAGTGGGCTGAGTGAAATATGTCTGGAGATGGAAACAAAGTGGAAACTTTTACCTTGGATGCAATATAAAGATCTGGGGGCGAGGAAACGGCATTTCACCATTCAAAATGCTAATCACTAATTAATGGCTACATCACTAATTACAAAAACGTTTGGCATTATTCAGTGCAAATTAGCTACTCACTACCAGCAAATAAAACACAAGTTGTCAGTTTTGCTCAAGTACATTTATTCCATATTCATGAAGCTTAAATCCTGAAGGTCAATGTCTGCAAACAAATGTTTTGACGTTAATTTGCCAATCCAATTATGTCCAAGTATTTGTTAGTGAGGCTCCGAGTCTCCTTTGTGAGGTCGCTCATCACAGAAAACAGTCCTCTCAGATGGAAGAGAAATAATGCTTCAGGATCAGCTTCCAGGAAAGGCTCCAGGGTCTTGGTGAATGTGGCGTTTTTGGCCTTCCAATCGTCCAGGGGAACCAGGCTGCTCTCCACTGTGTTTCGAATGGCCTTCAGCATCAAGTAGTTGGCATAGAGATCTCTGCAGGCCTCATCTGCTTTGCAGTCGGAGGGGACGTCTCGCAGCAGGCTTGGCAGGAGGATGGTCTTCTCCATGTCATTGACGGCTGAGCTGTATTGCTTCAGGGTCAGAAACAAGCTGTTTCTGTTGAATTTGGATTCAGCAGACTGCATGATTCAGAAGGATGTGGATGGCTGTTCCTGAGGAGTGGCGGCCGACAGCAGGTAGATTTATGCAGTGCAAAGCCACAGGGAGAAACTACGTTTTAAATGACGAGCCAGGGTGGGTTGGTCAGTGCATCATCCGATAAATTTGGCAACATATGGGTGCTATTTGAAGTCAAACCTTATCTTTGTTTACACAACTCACAGCCAGATATATTTTGTGTTTTAAATTGCAAGCACAAAACGTTCCTCTGTGGAATCAATAACCAAGCCAGACGGGCATGATGTCTGAATGACCTTAGAGCATGGGCTAATGAGTTCATATCAATCCAAATTTCCAAACTTTGGTAATAAGGGGTAAAACTAAATTTAAAATACAACAGGCAAATCCAGGAAACTTCCAATGTCTGCCAGAAGACAAAGAGTTTTTAGGTCTGCAGACAGTTTAAGATAATGAAGGGCGATTTAAAACATTGTACTGTTTAAATATTCACACTCTCCAAACATGTTATGCAAATCTGCTCTAAATAGTGATAAAAGGCTGACAAATAATTTAACATGAAATGTTTAACACAATCAGTTTCCTTCACCAAAAATAATAATAAAAATGTTTTGTAATATTTGACAGTGGTCACTAGAGGGAAGCCTTGAGCTCTTTGGCATAAAGTCTTAAAGGGATAGTTCAGGGTCTTTTAAAGCGGGGTTGTTTGAAAGATTATTGTTAATATCTTCCAAGGTATTAACAACAACCCACATTTTATAACTCTTGACTGCATTTTCATGAAATATAAATACAGATAAGTTGATAGCAGAAGCTGAAGCCAAGCAGTTAGTATGAGAGAGATCAAAACTGCATAAACTTACACAATCTGAAAACAAATACAATGTCCCCTAGGTTTACATGAATGCTAGTCAATAACCATAATCACATATGCATTAAATGATTACAGATAAGTCTGTGTTTTTTTTTTTTTACACAGAAAATGGTGACAGGAGGTGATGAAAACAGAAAATCAAAAGCAATTCCAGTCAGAATAACGGCCTGTTTGATCAGAAGAGGGATGTGAATTGTGAAATATTACAGCAGCCTCGGGGAAGGTTGTTTTATAGATGTTTACACGTATATATTTTAAGTAGGCAATTTGGACCAGAAAGATTTTCCTTTTTCTTCCTCAGTATTTGGCCAACAAATACTGAGGAATAACCCTTATCTAAATAAGACTGGACTACTCTATACAGAACCTTTAACTATTATTTTTTATTATTAAAACTGATTTATTTTAAAAAGTAAAACACTTTTTCAAAACGGATTTCTTTGAAGGAGCAGTTGAAGGTATTTACCCAGAACATTCATGCAAGACCTAATATACATATGAATATCATAGGTGGTACACTGCCTCCGACCCAGTTTCCTCTAGAAAGACATGATCAGCTACTGTGTAATTAATGTAAACATGACAAAACTTTACAGGTTTTATAAAGTTGCATTTTCAAAAGTTGTGAAGCTCTCAGATTTTGAGACAGTCTGCTGTGATCTTAGCCTCTCTCTGACAAGCCACCTGCTTCAGTCTGCCTGTCCAACAAATCTGGATTTATGAACAAAAATAAACAAATACCAAGATATTATCATCTGTAAATCTAATAATCTCTCCTCAAACTTTCACTTTATTAATAATTTTAAAATGCATTCATATAGCCATAAATACTATACACCTTATCGACAAAATAATGAGTCTATATTTCTGTTTAAAATATTGCCTATTTTTAATGTTTTGCTTCATATTTACTATTACATGTAGCAATACTGTAAACCAAAGTAAAATAAGACACTCAGTTATGTCATTTTAGCCTTTGCAGGTTTAAATAAATGTCTTCCACCTGTGGATTTCATCTCTGACAGTGATTTTGACAAATCTTTCAAAAAGTGAAACAAATTTTAAAACAAACATTCATAAAGGCATCACTTTCATATTAATAGTGAAAACTTATTGTAACATCCATAATATAACCTGTACATACATACAACTTTCTTTGTGCTTGTTGCACCTCTTGGTCCTGGTTGCATTTTGTACTTCAACAACCAACAGAAAAAGTTTTGAATTCAGCAGAACCGTTCAAAATTCACTTTGATCTCAAGATGTTTGCTTTGAACCAACTAGTTAAAAATGCATAGAATTTACTCCATTAATTTGCATAACCTGGAACCACAACTTGAAGCTTCCCCAACAGTCACGAGCAAAATCATTTGCAAAAATGTTTCAATCCTAAATAGAAACCATAAATGTAGCTCTGCAAGTACAGTCTGAGTGAAAAGTGACATATCAGCCCCTTAGTTTGTTGCTGGCAGAGATTAAGTCCAAATCCTTCAAGGAGAGTCTTGTTTTTTTTTTTTTAATTTACAATGCATAGCTCAGCAAAAATTCCGTTTGTGGAATCGCATCTCAATTCACGGCATCCCTCCTTTGACCTTTGACTATGATTTCCAAGACGTGTGTGAGATCCATCATTTTCGTGAGCATATCCATGATGTCCGGATGCTCCCTCGCTCCGCTGATGAACTCTTCCAGCGTCAGCTCACCTGAGGAAATGAACATGGAAATGAGAAGTCCATCTTACATATGTACGGGTACTGTGTAGCTAGAAATAATTAGGTTCAGTTTCATTTCACAACCTTTAACCTAAAAAGAGTGCGGCTGATCTATAAATGACCCCTTTTAACATAGGCAGGTGGACTATTATTATACAAGTCATGGTTTTCCCTGGGAAATTCAAATCTTTTTAAAATTATAACCATTAGGCACTTACAAGCATTTTTCTTTAATTAACCATGTTTAATTTAACAACAACTACAGCCTTAAATAAAATAGAAAAAAAATCCAGCAGGTGTTTCTAAATCAGACTTTGGAGAATCAATTCACCGAAACTAAATACAGCAAGCAGCAGAAAGAATGACTCATTTCTCATCCTTATGACTGAGAATAGACTAAAACAAAACTATACAAGAGTAAGTTATGGCTCTTAACATAAAATTATCTATTGATCTATTCAGAAAAATTATATTGCTTTCCTGTTTCATCAGAATATTTAATATTTGTTTAATATTAGATTACTGAGAGTTTAAAAAGCAAAATCACAATGCAATACATTTTAGTTTAATTTCCTTTCAGTTTGCAGATTTTAAAGTTTGGACACCACTGGGATACCAACACATATTTATGCCTTTGAATGGCCCAATCATAGCCCAGAGCTTACTCCATTTCAGAAACTGCTGTAATTTAACATAGTTTGCTTCAGGTATTTTACAAATAAGATTAGATAAAGATTTCCCTTTCTAGATGTTAAATAAAAGAATCGTCCACCTTTTGGCTAAACATTACATTGTTTTGCTCTTTCCCCTTTAATCCCACTAAGACACAAGCTGAAGCTGTGTAAATACTGTAGGGTGTTACCTTCTCCTTTGACGTCAATTTTCTCATATATAAGAGTCACAATTGTCTCTGGAGGTATCTCGTAACTTCTGGTGATATCTTGAATAGCCTGTTGAGGAGAATTTACGGCAGCTTTTAAAGTTGGGAGTACATTATCAGGTTAGGTTAAAACAGTGACATCTGAACTGAAAAGAAACTATGAGCTCTAACAAATTAAATAATAGTTTTTTATGTCCTTTTAGCCTGAAATACACTTTAAATGAAAGTACATTTCACAATAAATAAATATTGACTTAATTATTAAAATGTGCAAGAATTTGTCCTGTCTGGTCTATTTGGTCTGTCAGTTAGGTAACAACATATTTAGCCTTCTGATGATGTAAGAGATTCTCAGATTAGATGTCATGTCCATTTCAGGATCTGTAAAAAGCTTTAAGGATTCCAGAGGCCATGCTCTGCAAGTGTGAGAATATGATTGTTAATATCATTGAAGAGCAAGCTGTACCTTAAATATAGTTTCCAGCTCATCCTTGTCAATTTTCCCATTTCCGTCTTGATCAAAAAGCTTGAAGTACCACTTTAATTTCTGATTTATTTCTCCCTTCAGCAATAAACTTATAGCTGCGATGTATTCCACAAAGTCTAAATAGCCATCCTGAGGAGAAAAACAAAGACAACATAAACATCTATTTTCTTTAGGTAAAAATCCTAAAATTTATAATCAAATTCTTTTGTACTTTGTTGAAGCAGAAGCACATTTTATCTATCATTTAGGTTGTAAATGTTGCTCTCACTAAGTCATTAAAGGCAGACAAGCAGAAATTTATTTTCTTACCCCATCCATATCAAAGGTATAGAACACCTGGTCCACATAACTGTTGGCCTCTTCTGTCATGCCGTTCATGTCAAGCATCGTCTTCAGTTCAAACAGGGTGATTAGTCCTGAGGGAGATTCCTTCATGAACTTTGTGTACCAGTGATGCATGTCCTCCTCCAAGATATCATCCAGGTTCGAGCTGTAAGAGCCCATCACTCCTTTCAGGGATTGTGATTTTTATTGTGGTTACAGATCCCTCAGAGAAGTGGCGGTGAAACCGATGCTCGGAGAAGATGGCACCTGTGATTTCTGTCTGAAACCCACCGCAGAGTTTACGCTTAATCTTTAAGCCCAAAGGAGAGATAACGCTTTAATTGGATAAGTGCTGAGGCTTCCAAGAACCTCAGTACATTAGGTTAGAAACAAAAGCGGAAATAAATGTCATTATCTGGTGTAACGTAATTGAATTGTGGGAGAGAGAGAGGAGGGTGAGAGAGCAAGAACCTTCCTCCAAGTTTGGCAGCAAGATTCAGTGTCTAATTGGTCTCGTCAAAGTCCAGACAAAAATCTGGACTGCAACAAATGCAGTTCCTAGATGCAGCTAAATGGAGACTTTCTTGGAAAAATTGCAGAGAGACATTTCTATATATTATTGTCTCAAGTGGGCCGAATAAAAATGTATTTGAATAAAACAAAGTGTCATAAACTCTAGTTTATTGTAAAAAGACATGGGCCCTTGCTCAGGTTCTCCATCAGCTTTAGGGTCCCAAGTTGATAAGAATGGAATGACTCTAGTGTTGAAGTATTCATGGCAGCTTTCAGAGGAACCTCTGATGTTTGTGATAAGGCTATAGAAGCTCAGTGAGCTCAGCTGAGTAAATCTGGCTTTGGGTGGCTGAAAATTCTCAAAATAGAATTGACAGCCAGAGTCAATGTTGATCTTTGCATCGCTGCCAAAGAATCACATGCACTCATGTCAATAATTCCAGGTGACAAGGAGAAAATGAGGCGAGGGGACAGATTTTTGAGTTTTGTGGAAAAATGCCACCTGAGTTTTTGCATGGCAGAAATTAGAATATTTTTTAACAACTCACCAATGTCTATTTGTTGCCTTTGTCAAGACAAGGACCGGGGTGCCCAAGTTCAAGGCTACTTTCCTGCAACCTAGATGCATCTCCAAATGTCCTAATCAGCATATTTTTGGCTCTCCACTCATTTTATTCAGCTGTGTTGGAGAGTAGATGTGTCTACAAGTTTCAGGATGGTAGCCTTGAACTTGGGCAGGGATTTGGGCACCTCTGATTAATATGGAGAATAATAGTTCTTTAAATTGGTGAATAGCAACTATATTTCTTCAAATAACACTACTATTGTCTTATCACCCTGAGATTTGTTAATATATGGAAGAACGCTCCAAACGAGCTATTGTATAACCTTGTTTTAAAAGAGACATTATTTCTTTTTGGCAGCAGTGCTGCCACTTGGGAAATTTCAGGGGGAACAATGGCCTCTCTCTGTAATAGTCTTCTCAGAGCCTACAGTCATAGAATAATGTTTTTATGGATTCATTTAAGAGAAAAAGAATGAGTTACAATATTATTTAAGGTGTACACAAATATACTTTCGATTTTTTTCCTTGATAGTGCCTCTTTTTGAAAGCCAACCATTCTGTTACACAACGAATCTCAAATGATACCTGAATATGAAAGGTACACAGATGCTTTCTGGACAGGTGAGAAATATAATATACCTGTTGGTCTTGTGGGTGGAGCCAATGTACACATAACAAAAAAGTATGATGAAAATTTTTCACATTAATATCAAGGTCATCAACTTTGTCCAAGATTCTGATTTTGTCCCACTGTGTATTTGTGTAGGTGCATCCTGTTTTATCTTTCAGAGTTTACAGTTACTGGTCTCCATTTGGCCACAAAACATTCTGGGAGTGGTTCTGTTCAGAAGCAGCTGCAAAAATACTCACGGTGTCTGAAAAATGGAAGTGGATTAAATAAGGCTGGACTTCAATCCTTCACCTTCCACATATCCAAGATGGGATCACAGAGGCAGGATGGAAAATAGGAAAACACTATTCACAATAACCATCAAGCTCCTTCTGGGAGTGCCTCAAAAACTGTTGAATTGCTCCCTCTGGGGTGAGGGTCAGACTTTGCCTTACCATTCTGGATTAGACGTATTTAGTTGATATTGCTTCATCTTCGAAAATTTCAGGAAACATTAATTTTTCCGTCTTCTACTAATCTTGTTTTATCATGACGACTGAAAAAATTGTAGCAGATTGTTTTAAAATTCTCGTAAATGGCATATTTCATTGTAAGACAAAATCTGTGGTACAGTCTACAGGGGATTATTAAAGGATACTGTGCTTTTAAAAACTCCTAAATCCACAATAACCTTACCTGGAATAATCTTCAACCAAATGGTTCCACTTCTAAACGTGACCCTCTGACATTTAACAGGTTAAAGTCTTACTTTACATGAGGATACGGTTACAAAAACGCGTGCAAACTGATTAACTGTGACCGCTGTGTTTGTTCAAGGTGTTAAACATTTACAAGTTCAAACTGAAATAACCTTCTCTACAACCTCATTGAGGGTATCGATTCACTGAAAGGTAAAAAAAAAAATTAAAATAAAACATACCCCTGGTGAGGCACACCTGCGCCCTCTGTTGTCCATAAAAAACACTAAAATGCAGCAAAAAATAAAAAATAAAACAGAATTAATGAAACCGCTGATATTTAATATCTGTCACAAAGTACATGTGAATAATAGTATAAATCATACTTAGGTAAACAAGTTCATCACTTGGCAAATAAAATAACTCTTAATCTCTGTGTACCTGGTTATTTTAGTGTTTGTTGCACTTTAGGCAAATGCTTCAAGGTAAGTTTAGTTACAGTTTGCAAATGAGGTCTGCTTCAAAACTGAACATGTATGCAAAGGAGTGTGTGTTTCCACATCTAACAGCAGATCACCATTTCTGCTACATCAATATAGCGAAAATATACAACATCAGAGGTTTTAACAAAGACCGTTGGAGCTTAAAAACAATGGCAATATACAATAAAATCTAAATGACAGTACATAAAAAACACAAATGTTTTACAACCATGTGGTTTATGCTATCTGGTCATGTGAGAGCATTCACAGTGGATGTGTTTGTGTGGTGAATGACAGCTGACAAGTCAACTGTTTCGAGGCCAATACGTAAAAAAAAAAAAAAATCCATCCTGGAAATCCGGTTTTAGTGGTTTTACAGGAGCTCATTTTTCAATGCATGGTGTGCATTTCCAAGGAACTTGGGAGAATGTTGTATTCGTCTTCATTCTGATCGTAGAGGAACTGCCTGAACACATTGTACACAATCTCTCTGCTGAGAGTGGAGTTCCTAAGCTTTTCTTCAGGAAAGATAAATGTCAGCTTGTATTGCACAACAGCAGACCCATTCCTGTAGGCAGAGAGAAGCACTGGTTAACTTCTGCACAAAGCATAACGTGTCATGCAACACGCGGTAGACTACAGTGCAAAAACCACTGAGTGGCTTGTGTGTTTACCCAAGGTGAAATATCTCCGCGTCTGAGAAGAAACGACCCAGAGCATGGGAGGATTCATAGAGCTTGGTCACCTGGGTGGGGCAGGTAGAAACATGCAAAAAGAAACAATAGGAATGTGGTGTTAGTTGGAAAACCAGAGCAACCAAGACATTCTTTTTAAGAAATGATAGCTGTGCTTTATTTCTGCAATACTGTTGCATTATTAAAAAGAACTGCAAAACACAATAAAATACTATGTATGAAATAAATTTTTAAGGCAAAAAAACCCCAAACATTTCTCGAACGCATTAAACATAAATGCTTCTGGTTGTTTTTCAGAGCAGATCAGAAACTGCACCTCTCTAGAACTGAAGGTTAAGACCATATTAGGAAGATTATTTGGAGTGTAGCTACACTTTCCAGAAGAGACAAGAGCTGTGACAGTCGGGAGAAGATGAAGAAAAGAGTTCTGCAGAGACAGAGGCAGGAGCTCTGTCTGAAGGGCCAGCACAAGCCTTTTTGGGGCAGTAAGCAGACTTGCATCAGGGTCCCCATACCAACATGTCAACACCAGATTCTTTCTCATTCCTAGGTTACTCTATATATGTAATGTGACCACTATTATTAACATAATTTGTAATTAGTCTGCCTCATACCAGTGTTATTTTGACAGTTACCATACATGAGTAGTAAACTAACAAAAAAAAGCAGAGATTTTGATTTGAACACTGTTATTTAAACGTGCCATATTATTTTAATTATTTGAAAGTGACATCAGCTGATAAACACCACATTTATAGTAAACAAGTTAACACGTTTGATTTATTATATTTCTCCAGCAGTGGCAGCAGCAGGAAGATATCAGGCTATTGTGAAGCAACTATAAAAATAACATAAATATAGTTTTTCCATGTGTAATAGCATTTAGTTTGTTTATCATGCTAATTTGGTGGTCTTGGGGGACAACTGGTGGTGTGGGCCACTTAACTCTCACATGCCTTGGGCTGCCTGCCTATGCATGTGAAGATGATACAAATGAAAGACAGTATTGTGTTCATCATAATAAAGAAAGATAGTTTTTTGCGTTATTTTCTATTTAGTTTCTAGTTAGAACTTGAAATGGTCCCATCTTTTTTTTTTTTTTGTCAAAGAAGTAGAGAAAAAAATGGGCATAAGAAAGGCAAATACATAGATAAAGCAGCAGCCGTCTCGTTGTTTATCTGTGTCTTGCGTACCATGTCTGGCTTGGTAATAATATTTATGTAAAATAATATCACTAACCTTTCTCTGAACGTCACTGAGACCTTGGGTTTCATTTGAAAATGGAGTTCCCATCTGGAAGCTCCCATTAAATTTCTGTTGTAGAATAAACGTTGTTTGGTCAAATTGTTCATCCTCATCGTCATAATTTGCTGTTTAAAGAAAAACAGTGTTAGACATGAAAAGCTGAAACACTATGAGTCGCTGAAAAATTACAAAAAATCAACAAGTAAACCACACTAAAAGTTAAGCCTGTGCTTATGCAACCTAGATAAATATCATAACATCTTTAGCATTTAAAGAAATTAAAGAAATTGTAGTTTTGCAACAAACAGTAAGCTTAGATTTCATACCATAGCATGCAGAAACAGAGATGACAATCACAATAGTTATAAGGAAAATGACAATGAAGGCAGCAATCAGTTTGCTGCGTTTTTCTTTGAGGGATAAACATTTCTGAAAGTACAAAAAAAAAACAAAACTACATTTGTTAAAATGGGGGTTCACTGTTATTTAAAGCAAACATTAAGAAGAAAAAGCTAATGAGAAGCAATGTTGTGATCCTACCTGGAGACTTGTCCAGTTCTTATGCTTTGGTTTAGTGCCTGTTTTCCCCCCATTATTGCTCTGGCAAAAGGAAAAGTGGTTTAAATGTCTCTTTTGACAGCTAAAAGATCAATATCACACACAGTTAGACTAGATTCAGTTATAAAGTTAACACTAACAGATAAAGAAGCTGTTCTAAGAGGGATTTAGGTTTGCTCCCAAACTGGATTTGTTTTGAATGTTTGAGAATGTTTGATCACGCTTGATGATTTTAACCTTTAACCTGTTAACCAGTTAGCATTTTTTACTGGCTAACATTGCTGAACATTCACACTTTGACCAAAAAATTGGCCACCAAGTCACTACAAAGAGGCTAGGACGCTATAATCTATTATTTATACATGAGGTTTTCCTGTCATTTTGGTTTGTGATGATAAATTTAGCTCATGATCAAGGTTTGCTCACCAAAATAGCCTTAGCATTGTATGTGCTAAGTAGATAGCATAAACAAATATTCACACTAGACAAAAGTCATTATAATCAGACTTAAAAAGCCATATTTGTTTATATTATACTTGTTTCTCAATTATCTTTCCATATTGTGTTTTAAATATGTCTTAATTTAATTTGATTATCATCTTTTCACCCAAATATTACCTTTTTGGTAATCCAGGTTGTAAGCAGTTCTGTTTAATCTGCGTTTTGCTAGTTTTAGCAAAGCCTTTAGCAGATGTCTCATTTTGTTTTAACATTAGTTCTATCTTTGTGTGGTTTCTTACACTTGAAGTAAGATTAAAAAATGTGTCGCCTTAGTAAAAATTTTATTTTCCAACTGCAAAAGGGTGTGATCTTTTGTCTAAACCATTATATTGTATTTAGTATCACAGTGCAGTTTTTTCACTTGCAAAGACGCTGCAGTTTTTGCAAACATATCATTTTATCTATCCCTACCGATGCTTTGCATAGCTGGCATCTGAATGTCTACGACAGATTAATAACTATTGGTTGAAACTTGAGTTCTTTTTTCTGTTCAAGATCTTAAAATGACAAAAAGGAAAAGGCTAAAGTAAATGGCTTTCCTAAAAACTTCATTGTATTTATGTAGCAATGTTATTCTTATGAAATTGTTGCAAATTGTTAAATATAAGGTCATGTAGAGGACAAGCATTAGACAAAGAGTGACAAAAACTCACCTCTGGAAGTAAAGAGTTTACCACACTGGCCTCAGCATCTTGACCATCTACCATGTCCTAAGAGTTCATAAAAAATATTGATTATCAACACAAAACAGTTATTTCTAGGTGCTCCTGCTTAGTAACCCTGAACAGGGGTTTTAGTAAGTAGATGAGTACATACTTTAGATGTATCAAAAGTTAAAGTTGATACTTTAACTTTAACATCTAAAGTTAAAGTATCAACATCTAAAGTAATGTTGATACTTAAGATGAACAAACTGGATTATTTTTCTCCTTTTGTTCTTTCCTTCAAAAGTTAGTTTGTTTGAATTTCCTTTTAATTCCCCTAAAGAACTTTGTATTGCCTTGTTGCTGAAAATGTGCTATTTAAATAAAATGACCTTCACCTTCCATTGCCGTATTTTTGTCATTGCAAATTATGGTTGTAAATTATTGTTTCAGGAAAATGTCAGCTCCCAAGAATAAGGGTGGCTCCTAAAACTTTTTTCAAACGGACGTCCAGGTGGTGTGGTTGCTAATAATCACACACCAAAATGAGTGGCCAAAAATGGCAGCACACCAAAATCAAACACTAGGACAGACGTTCAGGGGTTTTATTATCCTGTGATCACAAGAGAATTGGCTCTCAAAGTAATATTGAGTAAATATGTTGCTATTATTGAGTTTGCAGAAGCGCTTGCAGTTTCAGAGATGGTCCCACAAAACTGTTTTATTTAACAAAAACAACCAGTGGGATTTTCTTAACGCAACCAAATGGTTAGTTTGTTCATTTTAACTAAGCATATTGTTATACTACAAAAAGGACAATAAACCAACCATTTTGATTTATGGCCCATTCCTATCCAAGCAAGGTCCAAATTTGTATTCCACTGCAAGGTTTCATGTAAAACAGAATACAAGCTCGTGTATTTTTCTTTTTAGGTTTACACTTACGAAGATCAGATTCTGCATGCCTTTTTTCTACCTAAAAGGCTAGGATAAGGCAATTAACCAATTTTTATTCATCAAATCAAGCATTTGTGACGAACATTTCAGGATCATATTTAAAGAAAAAACATTTAAAATCCAGAAATGTTGACATTTGTTGTTCAAGCTTTAAAATTGTCCCATTCAAGTTTTCAAAAATGTTCTTATATCTGAACCCACGTAAATAATATTTGTACAATTTGTACAATTTCTTTTAATGTTCTCTCAATAGAATATTTTATCATACAATTCTGTTGGAAATATTATCTGACCTCACTCCCCTAAACAAAAATCCACAACTACTTATATAAATCAATACTGCATTTCTTTGACATAAGAAACTGGACTGATTGGAAGTGATCAGGGTTGGGGATCACACGCCCCCACCTGTCAACTTACCTTAACCCTAAACAGGAGAAGTAAAACGGATAGGAATTTGAAGTACCCATTCTTTTACTAACGTACCTTTTGGTCCGAAATTGTCTTAATTTCGTTCAACTCAACGTCCCCAGATTCCATTCCGTGGTTATAATATTCCAACAGACCCGGAAGCGCCTGTCAAAAGGTGTCAACTAAGAACAAACACGTCCTCTCCGTGGGACCGTAAACGTATCAGTCCCGGTTCAAACAGTAAAAAAAACCCCGAAAAACAAAAAAACAAAATAAGTTCTCGCCGACCGACAGCAAAAGGTAATCGGTAATTGTGAGTAAGAAGCTGAAGGGAGCGTTTCCTCGGGGTTGGGGGTGAAGTGTCTTCTTTCGCAGGTCCTCTCTTCTCCGACTGGCTGTCAGGTGTCGTTTCGGTTTCGTCCGACCGACTTGTTGACGGACGACTTTTCCTGAATGGGCCGATGGTTTTGGGAGGCGGTACTGAAGCCTCCTCACGAATACCATGACACAACTCCGGTATCTTTTGAAAGTCGGGTCGGAAATACCAACCGCTGTCTCCACACACGCGCCTAATAAATTAAAATCATTTGTAAATTCATTTATTCCAGTAATTGAGTGCACAATGTTTCCTTTCTCAACAAACTAAAATATTGACAGATGAATAAAAATGACATGTAACACAAAGATATGATGCACACAAAAGGAGAAATGTGGATTTGATCAATGTCCAGCAGAAGATAACCCACCTTTGTCGTGCTGCAGGCTTTTCCCCTCCTGTGCAACACCCAGCTGTGTTTACCAGTTCTGTGACCTGACCAAAACTCCTCAGTCATTACCTTGAGAATGAATGGGATTTGGTTAAGTATAAAGCAGGCATTAATGCCGAAAATGATCAAATTTAATGTCCCTTTTGGATCAATAAAGTACTTCTGAATTCCAGTTGAAATGAAGTGTTACAAGTCATACAAACTGGACAGTTATAGAGTGACATTCACTGTCCAGCGGTGGGCTCCACTCAGCACACCTTAAGGGTGACAGAGTAGAAAAGATTGCAGTACGAGTTTTGCCTTTATCTTCTCCTCATTGCACCCTCTCTAAGGGCCTGCCTTAATCAGTTTTTGTTTCTGTGTGACTGTCGGCAGTCTCATATGTTATGGATATAACAAACCATAACATATTATGCATATAAAACCATAAAGAGCGTGCTGCATTGTATGCCGAAAAAAAAAAAGACAGAACAAGAATCATATATCCATAACACATTATTGGAGGGTAAACCACAAATGTCCTTTGCTTTAAAAAAACTGGCTGTTCACAAAAAGCTTTATTCGAGAGTATAAATGGAGAGTTAGCTGGAAGAAAAAAGTGTGGCAGAAAATAAAGGTTATAGGAATAAATTGTAAAGAAAGAAAAAAAAGGACTGGTTCAAGACCAAAGTCAAATGTGTTTTATTTTGTAAATTAAGGTGATAGTCAATTTGTTTTAGTTCAAGTTAAAAGTCAACACTGATGCTTACCAGGAGCACATTTTATGAAGATACTGATTTCATTTTCCATTATTGGCATCGTTATGTTTGATTGGTTAGCCATTTGGCCTGAGATAAGCTGTAGAGAATCTATGGAGCATTAAAGAAGTATGAGAAACATCAGACTAAAAGATGTAGACACAATCATAATAAAATAACACAACTGTTTGGTGAGATTCTGAAATATTGTATCTGGATAATGAAGTATGAATAAATAGTTGAGTTTTTAATTTTAAAATGTATTTTTAAAACATCATTTCCTTTAGACTTGGGATTGTGCAATTTTTGTCCAGTTTTATGAATTCTGGAGTTGTTTATAGCTGTTAGATTTTACTTTCTGGGCCTGTTTTTTAAAGCACTGAAGCACCTAATTTTTGGTATCACATATCATGAAACAATTTTATAGATTTTGATAGTTGATGTAAATTAGTAAAGATGTTTAACAAACCAATAAGATCACTCTTTACTATATTGCCAAATTTAAATTAATCTTTAACATTGTGTTGCTTTATGATTTGTGCAATTCAAATGAAAAAGCTTTGAACTAATATTTCCAAAATTTTGCAAAAACTAGACCCGTAACTAAGGAAATGTGAGTCTGGAATTGGTTATGGTATTGAGATTAGAAATGAGAAATATGTAGGAATATGTTTGCTAAATACATCTAAGAGCACCATGTTGCAGGAAGTCATCTGGCCAGTTTATCATAAATATTTGTACACAATCTTCAAAACATTTGGGTGTTTAGCTATTCAGGAACATGCTTTGAAAGAACAGAATTATGTAGTTTTCAGCATCAAATAAATCTAATAAATAGACACCATATTTTAAAGGATTTTAGATATTTTTACTCTGCTTTATCAAACAGATTTGTAGCTAGACAGGACATCCAGGGCATTTTGTTCAAAAACAGACCAGAACATAACAGTCAGAAACCGTCTGCAATTGTACAAACATGTAGAAACATGCTAAGTGTGAGCGGGAGTCCCACGGCTAACGTCACAGTGAGAGCTGACAGCCACACAGACAGGTTTATCATGGTGATGCCTTCTATTGCCTAAAAAAGGACAGAAGACAGCACAATGGCAGATGATGCAACTGATACCACAGAAACTTTAAGAAGGAACTTGAACTTTTGAAAAGAAAACTTGGAGCTTAAAATCAGAACTAGACAAGTTCTGTAAAGTCATACTTAGAAGGATGACTTTACTTCACAGTTAAACTGAGGCAATAACCTCAAACTGGAAGTAAGACTTCAGCAGATTCCAGGAATAACAACACAAGATATGAACTCTATCATTTTTACAAAACAAGTCGCTGGTGATTCACTCTATGAATGAAATACTCATGAAAATCAGCACTTTAAGTTTCAAAGGAAAGTATCTTGCATTACCCAGTTGTCTCAGTATCTGCTTAGGGATTTATCTAACTATGTGATATGCAGGACAAATGTATGACTTAATCTCACAGTGAATAAATAAACCATGTGACATTACCAAATCTTATTTAGGTTAGAAATAAACAACCCTTTATAAAAATAAAGCACAAACAGGCATGATATCCATTACTTATGTAGGGTAGGGTGAAATTACAGGATGAAGCCAAAATGTGCTACATTTACAGATGAACTTAATGTAACCTTCTCTAAACCTTTGAGCGCTCATGTTCAACTGTTCAATGTGTCAGTCTTTTTTGCACCACTTCCTTTTCTGTGATATGGAGCTTAATGACAAAATTCACAGCAGGTTTTTTAACCAGGAATCAATCAATAAATTTCCTCATCATCATGCTTTGATGTCACAAGATCAAGACGACACTTAGCAGATGATCGACTTGCCTTGCCATTGTGGGGTTTCAGGCAGGATGTAATTAGACGGAAGTGGCCATTGAGCTTAGGGTGTCACAGAGTGTCATAAGGTTACAACAGAGATACTGAAACTGAAAGTCACAGAAACATACAGAAGTGGACGTCCTCTGTGTGGCTGCTTCTTTGTGAACAGTCACACAGTCATGATGAAGAATGCCACTCAACTCCAAGCACATTTAAGGGAGTTGAGAGACAGATGGGTCGAAACCATTTACATCAGAATGTAAAGCTTACTGGACAGCCTTCGCAGGTACCTGACCACACCACAACACACAGACGCCATGGACAATGGATCCTCAAACTCGATTCTGTTCTCTGGTAAAAGTCGATTTACGCCGAGAAGAAATGATAGCCCTCCACAATGTTGGAGACGTCAAAGAGAGCGCCATGTTTAAGCCAGGATGTCACCAGACAAACCTTTGGTGGTGATTGTGTTTAAGTGTGGGCAGGTCAGTCCAGTCCCGGGGTCTGCAACCTTTACAACCCAAAGACAGTCAGAAAATGCTACATAACCTCTCGTGAAAAGACAACTTGAATATCTACTATTGTAGTTTAAAGCCTTCTGCAATTTATGTGTTGATTTTCTGAAAAACTTTATGTTTCCATTGGCCAGTGTGGGGTTTGGACTCATGAGCTCAGCGTTATTAGCATCACGCTCTGACCAGCTGAGCTAACCAGCCATACCTAATGTTGAGTTTTAATGGATTTGAGAAAACTTACATGATCTTACCACAATGAAGATTTGACAAAAGTGCTCATATTATAATGTTTTTCAAAATCAACATGCATTATAGTTTAATTTGGAGGCTTTTTTTCTTTTGAATTGTTAATTTTAGTTGTACAACTTTCTGGACATGGTCATTCTTGGCTGTTTTCACATTTGTTGCACTGTTTATATTAGTCTCGATATTTGTAGTTTTCTGGAGCGCAAATCAGAGCTCAATGTGATTCACAGGTGATATATTAACTTGACATTAGCAAAGACACAGCGGGACGGACCATCTGGGAAATGATGGACAGGGAGAGTCTGACAAAATATTACTGGATGTCAGACAAATTCTGGGGTTTATGTCTGCTTATTTCTAAGCCCAAAAAGCGCAACAGCAACTCATTAAATCTAAGATTTTAGAAAATGAAACAAACAAAAAAAAAAAACAAGCCCAAAGCTGCTTAGAATAACCAGACTTGGTGAGAAAAACTCAAAATGCTTCCTGTTTTTCCAGCAACATAATTCGCATTTCCCTCTTTCCTCCATGTTTCTGTTGCTGTCACCACTGATACTGTTGCATAGAAATGTCGGTTACTCCCCAAGACATGTTGAGGAAATAAAATTTACTTTAAAAAGAAAATAGTAACGCAAATTTTGATAAGTAACTGTAGTTTGACTACTGGATTTGAAATAGCAACGCGTTAGATTACCCGTTATTGAAAAAAGTGGTTTGAAGTCAGTAAATCATTACTAAGTAATATGTTATTGACATCACTGGTGGTTACTAAGTTATCATAACCACTTCATGCCAACTAGATGGCTGCAAACAAAGGAGGAAAGAGTTAAAAGTTACCTCATTTCCAGTGTAGTGGAGGATCAATATACGGCGGGGCTATTCTCATCGATTTAGACCCTCGGCGTACATCATGGCGTCATAGCTTCTTTAAAATACTGATATTAAAATACAAACTGGTAAAACATAATAATTTCACTGACAAAGGACATAATTTTCACTGCAAGGAAAAGTGAAGGACATGTCATTGTGTGGGTCTGTCTATCTTCTAAAGACTTGGTTGCATCTTGCTATCCAGGAAGTCTTACTGATTTCTGATCACTTCAGTTGGAGCAAACGTTGGTTGAAGTGATGCTTGTCTTTCCAATTTTCACTGAGGCAACACCAAACAGGAATATGTTGCCCAATGTTAGGTACAGGGGAGGATCTGGAAAGCAGTGGACCTTTTTCTCTTCCAACAGCCTTGGGGACAATGATGGAATGTGTATCATCACCGGCTCTTTGATATTTCAAAATCGATGAACTCCTCCAAAGAAATGACATTGAGTTTTTATTGGATCTATCAGGAGGAAAATAATCCAAGACTTTTTATC